TACAGTACATATCTGAATGAAAACACAATTACAATAAATCATGATGACATTTTCAAATTATACTTGCAATGAATCTCTGCATAAATTTCAAATTAATTGGAAAAAGTAAATAACATTATTTTTTCCCATCAGAGACATTATAGTGATTTATTATCATATATTCTGATTGTCTGTGTCGTGTAATAAATATTTAAAATAAAAGCAGTTGATGCGGTTGGCGCATCAGTTATGACTCAAGACTCTCAACCTTGCAGTCGGGGGTTCGAAACCCCGCTGAGCAAGTCGCTTGTGTTCTTAGGCACGTCACTTTATCTACATTTGTCTCTCTCAACCCAGGATTATAAATGGGTACCGGCATATGCTAGGAAGGTATAAAACATACTGCTGTGCTGGAGGAATGGCAAATCCCCCATAGACTTGTCTGGCCCAAATGGCAAGGAAAGAGAGACAGGCACTCCGTCATGTGAGTTCAGAGAGCTTCAAAAATTAAATTCAGTATTTGAACTGCTATATATTAAAAATTAAAACGAAAAAATATTTTCCAAGGCTTACATACAGTACCGTTCTAATATATGTGGTGGTGACAAGGGGAAACAGTCGGAAGTCGCTTTGGCCGTTTTGAAATATAGGCCAAAACAATGGGAGAGTTCAATATTTTCACAAATCAAGTTTTCAACAGAATCATGTTTTAAAGCCAGTCATGTTGTGTTTAGTACCATTTTATAAGCACGACTATGGTTGGTCAATCCATTGTTATAACTTTTATTTTCATTAATTAAAACCAGGCTTTTCATTTTGATTTGATTATTTCGTCATTTTATTACTCATTGTGTATGCTCTGTGCGAGCGCAAACGCTTCCGCCTTCATTTTCATACAATTTTCGGTTTAATAATAATTTAAAATTAAATATAGTACTAAGTATGGCTTAAAATAATTATTGAATGTGTATTTTGAACAAATTAATTCGAACTATTTAGTTTACCATGAAAACAAAATCTTCTTTCTGTGTGTTGAAATTTTGATCAGATTTCACAGGCATGCTACTACTACTACTACATACTTTATTGATATCGCATCTTCACAAGACTTGGCAAAAGTATTGGAAATATTATAAACAACAAATTTGCCAAATATCAGCAGATTTGGAATAAGTCCCCAATGCTAAGGAGTAAAGTAAGTTACCCCAAACCGGGAGTTGGCTAGGCCAGAAGCGCATCTGGTTTAAACAAAGACGATGTTTATCATTTTTCTTGCTTGCACATTTTGCAAACAGGACCCCAAATTTTGATATCAAAATAATCATAACTTTGTAATATACTTATCGGATAAGATTGATTTTTCCACTATCATAAAGCTTAGAATGCATCTTTTTACAAGATATTATAATAACTCCAAACATCCGACATCCGACTGTTTCCCCTTGTCACCGCCACATAATCTTTTGACTCTAATTTATTATCAAATATTTTGAATCCAAGAAAAAGGTATATTAAGGACTCATGAGGCATGTATGTTCAAAGTTGTCCTAACAGTTTCAAGTTAATAATATTTTATGTTATAATTATAAATATTATTATTATTATTACCACTACTTTCACTTCATTATCATTCATGCCTTCAGCATTCCCACTATTGAACTGGATTAATTCGATGTCAAGTACAGTAAAACCCACAAATTGTCAGCGATGCTGATTGGTCGGTCGAATCGGGGAGCCTTACTGATTGCGTCAGAGCTGCTACGCAGTACAGCACCAAAAACAGGAAACCAGGTTTAGAATGTCTCATCCAAAAAATGGTGTGCTTTTACTCGTATTTCAGCCCATTTTGGCTAAAACATGTCAAGGAGAGCAGAGAATGGAATTGAACTGGGGAACAAACAACATATCTCCACGGTTCAGAGCACACACAGTGACTGCCGCCAGTCTAGTCAACTGAGTTATAGTAAATACCAACGGTATTGCCATGGATTATCATTACCATCACTACTTTAGGTATAGTTTGCTGAAGAGGGACAGGGATCTAAGCTTGAAAGAAATCTTACTGTAAGCTGCAATCACACTTTTTATGGTAAACTACCAAGAAGCTGGTTTATAGTTTTAGCATAATTAGTCGAGTGTAAACAGCCACAGAAAACTTACCTAGATGAGCGATTAGTTTAATAGTCTAGCAGCTAGATATGGTTTACGTGTACATACTCTGCGATTTATATAGACATATTTTTTCATGCTCCTGATACCTTTGGTCATCCGATTTGGCCATGTAGCAATCGTAAAATTGGGTCCCCAGTTCCAAAATGGCTGTTTTTTATGCAAAAGTATTCATTTTTGGGAAAAAATACAAACCCTCTGTATTTTAGTTACTATTGGTGATAGAGAGTTCATTTTGGTGCCAAAATGTTAGGAAGGATCATGTTTCTATTCGCTGTAATAAAACATTTTTCCCAGAATTTACCAGGGAAAAAATGATTACCAAAAAAACATGTTTTTTGCCCAAAAAAACATGTTTTTTATAATTTTCTATTTTTCCAAGCCACCAATTGTTTCCACTTATTCAAAGGTTGCAAATGATAACTAAAGTGACAATAATAAATCACAAAAAATATTTTTTTTAAATTCTAAGAGTTCTGAGTCTGTGTATAAAAAAATAATTGATTTAGCTTCAAAGAAGCCGGTTTTGGTAACATTCTCACAAAATCAGGAGAAATCTGTAAATTTGTTAATATTTATCAGATTGTGTTTAATTTGTTCTCAAATTACTCAGATTACATGCATTTCTATTTGCTTTAATGGAACATTTTCTCCAAAAATAACCAGGAAAATATTTATTAGGTCAAAAAATCTTGTTTTCTGGGCAAAAAACATGATTTTAATAATTTTCTCATTTTCAAGGCCATCGAATGTTGGAATTCACTTAATACTGGCAAATGAGTTAAAGTGACATTAGTATTATCACAAAATTTTTTTATACTTTATCCATACAAATATATTTAATTTTACTTTAGAAACATTGGTTTTGGTAAAATTTTGCAAAAATCAGGAAAACGCTGTAACTCTGTTAGTATTTATTAAGGGAAGTTGAATTTGGTCTCAAGTTACTCAGAATACATGTATTTCTATTTGCTTTAATGGAACAATTTCTGTAAAAATAACCAGGAAAATATTTATTACTAAAAAAAAAAAACATGATTTAATAATTTTCTTATTTTCAAGGCCACCAAATGTTTGCTTCACTAAATACTGGCAAATGAGTTTGAGTGACTTGCATATCTTGTATCTTGTACGAAAAACTCAAGCTACTGCATAATAACCAAAAAGAAATCTTTAACCTGCTCAGCTCATAAATTTAATTTAGAGATCATCAACCTCTTATTAAATCACTAAATCAATAATTAAGTTAATTAATTACCTCTAGAAGCCATCAGGTGGCAAAGAAAAATGTAATTATTCGCTAAGTAGTTCCAAATAATTACTTTAACATGCAATCAATCCGAGATACAGTGTGTGCTTATGAAATGGAAAAAATACATGACGACAGAAAATTTTAAGTACCTTAACTATCTTCAGCTTCGTCAAGATTATCAAATTTTCTGTGACAAAAAACTGTTGTATGACCATAGTCATGATGTGCCTCTATCTATATGGTGATGACAAGATGTCGTCATGACAATATTTAGGTATGCCACATGTTTTTGTCATAAAATTTTATAGTCTGACAGGGTTTTGTTGTCTGCATTACTGTAAGTACAATGATTTATTAAATTCAATTGAATTGCTTAATTTTTGCAAATGTAATACTGCTTTTTACATTTTTTATTTAGAATGAAAAAAACAAATTCAAGCAAATTAACATATTTAACATTTATTCATTCATTATTTTTTTCATCTTGGACTATTAAAATTAGCTGGTAAATCAGTTTACACTCTTATTATTCCTGCAGTAAACTGTAGTCAGTAAAAATGGAAATGATTTTGTCTGTGCAGGGTTCCCAATTCCAGTGGATTGAAGAAGTCATTTCCAAAATATCTGATAGGGTTAGGGTTAGGGTTAGGGGTTTAATGAGTTTTCTTAACACATCCTAACTTTTTTTTGCTGCTCAGGGTGATACCCATCACCAGCTGACTTCCAAGAAGACAATTGATAATACAATTAGTAAAAGCATGTAATAATTAATTTGCGAGAAATGGGTTAGTTTAAGAGAGATTTTTACTTTCTTGAGGAAGTGCTGGAAGCCGTCTCAATTTCCGGAACACTTGTGCTGCTTGCTTATTTCTCAGTGGAAGTTGATTTTTTAAATGAGCAATTTAATTGTTGAGGGTTTTTTTTTTGTCTATAAGGATGTTAAATCAACTTAATCAAATTAATTACATAAATAAAGTTGGGCAAAATAAAAACAGGTTTATAAAGTAATGGTTGAAAAGTACAGTACAAGCAAGAGTCTAAATGAAACAACAGATGCGATGACTTTGTAGTGGATGGAATCAAAGACATGGCTGTAAAAGAAAGGACTCCAGAGACTTGGTTATCAAAGAAGGAACTCAGAAATTTGGTTGTGAAAGGGACTCATTCTAGTTGGTTGTGGAAGAAGGCAGTGAACAACTTTGTTGTGATAGATGGGAACTCAACAACTTGGTTGTGACAGAAGGCACTCAAAGAATTGGTTGTGAATGCAGAGACTCAGAAATGTAGTGAAAAAAGGGACTGGTACTTTGGTAGCTAGGTTAATAATGGAGTGACTGAAAAACTTCACTGTGAAAGAATGAACTCAGGATGGTTGTTTAAAAAGGAGGCTGAGGAACTTAAATGTGAAAGAACTTTACCTATTTTAAAACTCCATTTTCATATAATGGCAAATGCTTCATCACTTACAGAATTTGATGCTCTTAAAAGTCTTGGCGTGAAGAAAAAATTATTTGGAAAAAATTCTGGTTTGGAAGGTGAGCATCTTAACCTCAACCATAACAGCTATATACCTCTATAAACAATGTATAAAAAGTCTTACCGATAATTTTTGTATTATTGTCCCTAATTGGCAAACAGAGGATGGACTTGGTGCGGAATCCAGATGTACGATCGATGTTGAAACGTGTGTCTGTTTCTGCATCGGTCACGTTGACATTCTCTCCTGTCATCGCCACATGTTCTACAATCCCATTGGTCAGTTTGGCATCTCCAGTATAGCATATTGCATTTGAGTGACCATTGCATATGGAATTCGTCATATCAAAAACTTTAGAAAAGGTGACTTTCTGTGAAGTTAGAAAAGAAAACAAAAATCTGATTTTCGAACAAAACATATAGTCAGAGTTCAGCTAAAAAAATTATAATTTACATTCAAGCAAGTCATTACTTTTTCATTCATTATTAGAATGCATAAACAATACTTTTTATCCTCAGTACTGTTTAATACTACAATTACCGCCGCCAAAAAGGTTATGTATTTACTCTCTGTCTTTCTGTCTGTAATAGCAGGACAAAATAAATTTTATGATGAATGGATCATCATAAAATTTAGTTGAATGGTACATATAATTGAAGAAAGACACCATTCAATTTTCAATAAAGGTCAAGGGCCAAGGTCACAGAAATTTAATTTTTTACCCACGAGCATAAAAGAAAATAATGGAATTGCCCCTCATATTCAGGCACCACTCAAGAAAACAACGTACCAGAAAATGACATAATGACAGGCGATTTCATTTCATTATTTTCTTGAGGGTATGCTGCAGCAAGCAAGAAAATAATGTATCTGAATATGATGGTCGATTCCATTGTTTCCTTGAATGTATGCCGTAATACACAGCCTGCATATTGTTGGTAGTGTATTCTGCGTATTGTTGGTAGTGTATTCAGACACAGGGCTAAGATATGCACTCTATGGGGTGACTACTCTAGTTTAGTTTTTAGGTCATCTGCATATTATTTAGCTCAGGTGGTTAAGTACCACACATTTGGCTTGTCTTTCTTTCGTTCTGCACTGTAGCACTCAATGAGAGAACAATTAATCACAATATGTTTTCACCAGTTCTTAGTTTGTGTTCAGTTCACTGTATGTCAAGACCATCATTATTCTTTAAATATGATTTTACTTGGATTACTTTACCTGTGGAATACCTTTGGATTTATGTTAACTACAGTACATGCATATTATCCCCCTGGAATAACAGTCAGTTACATTTTTCAAGATGGCATTAAAGGGAATCAACCTATATTTTATGATATTCATTTTGAATTTTGAACTGCATGAACAATCATTCTCACTGCAGACAAACTGACTGAAAAATTTAAGTTATAAATATCATTCCTGTAATCTCTGCATATGCCCATCGATTGACTATTGGTATTCAGATAACAGAACTGCCTCTAGTATTAATAAGTCTGTAAATTATAAATTGATTTTTTTTTTTGTTCTAGATTTTACCATAGGCAGTAGTTACATTTGAAAAAAACAGAATAATAATTTTGCACTAAATCAAATAAAAATGCTTTTTAATTGGTGTGTATTATTAATTGCCTCTAGTATTAATAAATCTATAAATTAAAAACTGAATTGTTTAAGAGTATAGTAATTGTTCAAGATATTACACAGAGTAATAAATTTGCACTAGTATAAAACCAAGAAAATACCTCCATTCAAAATAAAAAACATACTGATAAAGAAAATTTACAATCCTAATCAAATATTGTGCTCAAATAAAACAATAAATATGCTAATAGAAAAACATTATAAAAAATTAGAATCTAAATATTCCAGAAATATGTTTAAAAAAATGGGAAAAACTACCAGCACAATCAGTAAATCAAATGGCTAGTATAATATTAATAAAGGTCACAAGACTGGAAAAAACAATTGTTATTAAAAAACATAAAACTTTTATGGAATACATCACATGATTGAAAATCAATGGCAGACTGACATTTGTGCACTAAAAATGGCAATCTTACACTATATATAAAGCCTGGTTTCCATAAAATCGCTTAAGCTCTGTCCAAATTATAAAATTTTAACTGGCATAACATGTGACATGCTTAAATATGTCATCATGACCATATATAGGAACTACATTGTTGTAGGTCCATTCAGCCCCTGTTATGGACAGACAAGAGTAGCTGGCACCAGTTTATCTGGTAGTTCAAAGACGAGGAGAAACTTAGGGGAGAAGCAAGTTTAACTGTAAGAGCTGTCCACACCATGCGAGCGCTTTTAGACCGTTTCGGTATAAAGTGCTACATAAATCTAACTATATTACACTACATTACTACATTGTATAATTATCTAATTAAGTGTACTATTCTTCATGTTTATTTGTATGGCTAATGAAAATGGCCGAAGCAAATCAAATCACGCTCAAGTAGTTAAAAATCACGGAATCACCTTATTTTGCAACCTAGCGCACCTTCACTTAATCATTGAGCCCCCCCCCCAATCCAAACAGCTCCCACCTACATTTGAAGACTCCTACGCTACTGTCGTGATCTAATTCCAATGTGGCTCACTGTAAGTTGAATATAATATATTTTATCATTTTAATTAGTAATGAAATGTCATAATTTTGAATTTTTTAGGAGATATATTCTCCAAATATTCCTGAGTGTACATAATCACATATTCCATAGCATTACAGTACAAGTTAATAACAACACTAAATTATTATGATATAATAATATTCTTCAATACTGATGTCATTCGATTACTGAACTTCACGGTTCTTAAGACTGAGTGAGATTTGTATGGATTTTCTTTCTGTACTTGCTAAAAGGCAAATAGTCTCTTAAGCATGTCAATTGCTTTTCTTAAATCAATATCATTCATTAAATTGATCCAACATTTTATTGCACATACTAATGGACAGAGATTGTTGAAAGAATCTGGTATAAACAGCAGTAAAGCCTCAATAATTCCTAAGGGATAATTAGTGAGGCAATGAATACATTGTCTGTTTACAATAGTTTCAAATTTACATAATGATTTGATGTGCATGTAATCTCATAATGTCGTCTTACCAGTATCAACGGTTCATGTTATACAAACGATATACTATTATTATGGCAATGGCTATTATTACACCAGTCTTAAATTAATTCTTAATTCTGATTGGATGTTATTGTATGTATGGAATTGCAAAAAGGACAATAACATCCCATTATAATGGCAAATTCATACAAGACTGGTATAGCAACAGCAACAACCTAATATTAGTTTCCAAAAACCAGACGGGCCACTGGTCGTTTCAAATACAAAATACATACTTTAAGTAATGAAATACAAGCCATCGTGCTAAGATTATTTCAACATTTTAATTGGGACCCAATAATGAGTCAAAATGTTGAATCCCAGCATGATGGTGTGAATTTCATTACTTGGATTAGATAGTATAATACATACTTCAAGTATCGAAATGCACGCCATCTTGTCGGGATTCAATATTTCGACATTAATTATGTCATCATCAGGAATGCCTACCAATAATACTTTTTATGCATTTTTCTCAATCATTTGATTTCATGCTTCTTGTTTCCGTGCTGTGTGGGTGTGAGTTTGACTTTGTTTTTGTTCTAAATTTGCTTAAACTACTGTGTATTTGTAAAGATGGTACAACTATACTCACCTTTGGATGTGTTAATGGGATTGATGGTAGATTGGTTGATTGACAAGTGAATGGTTGAGTGAATACAAGGATATTTTAAATTATAGATTGATGTGTTGATCAGAATTTATAGTACATTCTCACATATGAGATGAGGCTTAAAATAGAAAATTACGATCGAAAACTAGGGGGTTGTCTTATACGTGCAACACATACAAAACGCAAATTTACTATTCAAATGAAGCTACGGCGTTTAGTATGAATGAACACAATTTTTAAATGCGGGGAAATATTTTTTTGGAAGATTATTTGGAAGATTAGCACTGCATTTGACTGTTTTTAGCCAGCTGATGCAGTATCAAGACCATAAACAATTTTAAAAATTAGGAATTCTGACGGTAAAACAGTGGTCATCTTATAAGCCAGACATACAAAAATTGTCCAAAAATTTTCTCAAAATTAGAGAGTCATCTGATGGGTGTACGCCTTTACGCAAGAATATACGGTATATTACGATAAAAGAGCTGAAGTAGAGATTGTCAGTTAAATTATTATCCTCCAACATAGTTTAAGTATAACATGCCAAGTTTCATGTTGGCTTTTTCGATTTAGACTAATAGAATATTTATCTACATTTAAAAGGTCAAGTTTACCATAACATTTGTGTGAGCAATAATGGAATGATGTGGATTGAATTCTAAATGTTTTTAACAACGAAAAATTATGACATCAGTGGTGGATCAAAGAATTTGAAATAGAAGGGGACATGGAGAAGCTTTCACACATGGAGGATCTATACCACCTCAGACCTACCATTTGGGGCTGAGGGCAGAACATTTATCATTATGGCACTTTTAGATGGCCAGAAATGGCACTCAATGAATTAAAGTTTCTTTTTATCTCCATTAAAAAAAAATTTCATCCCCACCTTAATCCACCAATATAATATGATATACAGTATGTCCTATAGTCGATGTCAGGAACACATTATGCTCAGTTTCAAGAAATTTAGCCCTTTTGGGTCAGGGTGCTAGATGAAGGACCATATGCCCCCTAACCATAGGCGTTAAGCCACTGTTGATGGATAGTCAGATCGATAGATAAAAGGATGGATAAATGAATTCAAGAATTTACTACAGATGAAAAGATGGATGGATTGAAGAATGAATGGATTAACAGATGGATGGATATGTGTGATTTACTAGATTGATAACATGCTCTAACATAGTTTATGTCCATTCCAAGGTTCATGTTGTCTTTTTGGACTTAGACTAAGAGGATATTTCATATATAGTACATTTAAAAGGTCATGTTTATGGAGTGATGCGGTTTAATATGTGGATTTAAGTATAGTCACAACTGGAAAACATTAAGAGAAATAATAAATAAACGGACAGAGGGACGCACGGATGGACGGAGAGATGAAATGGGTTTGGGTTTATGGGTGGATGGCTGAATTTATGATTTGATAGATGGATGAAATGGATGGATGGATGGATGGAGAGACGGATGGATGGATTGAAGGATGGATGGATTGAAGAATGGATGGATGGATTTATGATTTGATGAATGATGGATGAAATTGATGAATGGATGGACAAGGGCACAGATCAGTTTTGAATGGTGGGGAAAAAGTCTTGAGTCAACACCCACCTCAGCCC